TTGGGGATGAAAAGTATCGGTCTCTAGTGCACTGTCCCCCACGAGCCTCTAAAAGCGACAATAACTCATCACCTTCTAGTCGATGGGGACTCACAGCGACCCCGGAGCACAGGGTTGAACTGCCCGTGATTTTCCGCGTCTGTTATTCTTTCCAGGAGTAGAAAGCCCGTCTTTCTCCCATTGAACTGCTGGTGGTTTCGAAATGTTGACTTTGGAGGTAGCAGTACCATGCCACTCTAGCACAATCTCCCTGTGCTGTGGCACCAGAATAGGGTACAGCCTCCAGTGCCACCCTGCCTGGAGAGCCGGGGCACGCAGTTCCAGAATCCAAACCAGCCACCACGCTGCTCAGGACTGACCGCCAACCCCACTGAGAGATTCAACACTGACCAGGGGCCCGGCAGCGCTCCAGCCTCACGGCAGCCCTGGGTTGATGCCTCACCAAAATGATGAAACTGCTTTGTGTGAGGGCTCAGGAATGAGGAGATGAGTCAGCACATCTCTCTGCCTTCCACCCAGAGCCAACAAAAACAGCCTGAATGCTGACTCTGTCACCTCCCCACGGAAGACAGCCTGAGGCTGGGGCAGCCCTGGCGGCCCCACCCCCACCCCACCACTGCTGGCGAGGGGAGCGGTGAACCAGCTTCTCCGTCCTCATCCTGACGCTGCAGCCTGGTGGGCAGTCCCACAGGCCCTCTGCAACTGCCACCGCTCTTACGGGAGCCTAAGACGCAGGGGCTGCCCGTGGGGTCTCTGTGGGGTCTCTGTCCGTCCAGCATAACCCAGCGAGGACAGACTCAGAGAGCCGGGTGACGGTCCACGGAAAGTAGTATCGGGTTGGGCTCTACCCAAAGGGGCCTTCGTGTATCTTCTGTAGGAGCCCGAGTGGTGCTGTGGTTAAAGCAAGCAGCCACAGCTCACACCCTGCAGACTCTCTCTGGAGAACCATCAGGCAGTCAGCCCCCGTCAAGAGATGCGCCTGTCAAGGGTCGGGTGAAGGGTAGGCTATTTGGAGGGGGAGCTGGGGGAGGTCTGACTGGGTTCAAACCACTGAAACCAAAGCTGATGATCTGAAATGTAAGCCCCCATCTCATTCACAATAAAAATTGCTATTAATGAAAGATTGGCAGGCCTACTCATTCCCATTAGGCTGCCAGGAGCCAGTTGGCTCCGTGGCACTGGGTCCTTGGTCTGGGATGTTCTGTTGCTGGACACAGTTTGGTTCTGGGCAGAAGCAAACCTTCCCACTCATTTCCCTCTTTCCTCCTGCTTCTTGCCAGTGGAGGCCCGAGGACCGGCTGAAGGGAAGCTGGGTCGGCAGGGTACCAGGGCTGGGTTATTCTAGGGTACCATGGGGAGGCAGGGACGGTGCACTCTGTGATGGAAGGCAGATGGCAAGATAGGCCTCTTTGCTCGTCTAGTGCAGGCGTCTGTCCCCTGCGCCACCCCAATGGGCTGGGGCCAGTGGGGACCAGGGCTTGTCTTCCCTCACCCCTCTCTTCTGGAAAGTTGCTTTCATGGGAGAATAGGAAGCAGAGGGAGGAGGGGGTGGGGGCATGGCCTTGACATCTGTCCTTTCAGGAAATAACCTCATGGTGAAATGAGAAGAGAAAAAGCAACCTTCCCCCTCCCGCCCTGCATCAATCACAGAACCATTACAAAATACCAAGTCTGGAGCCCCATGGAGGTAAGGACCCTTCCTGTCCACCCATGGTCCCTTCTAGGTTGCTTCGCAGGTGCCTGGACTTGGAGGTGAGAGTTTTCTTTACCCAATGGCCTTCATGCCTATCCTAAGTAGCTCAGCAACAGCCAAGGGGCTGGGGTGGGGGAGTGATTTGGAGAAGGGCAGGTGGCGGCAGCTGTGCCTTTTCACAGGCATATGCCATTGTATTGGGCTTTGCGCACAGAGTCATCTACAAACAGGAAGTGTGCGGCCATTCTGTGGCCAGCAAGCCTACCGGCGCCATGTTTTCCAATGGCAATGGCCTGACTTTGCCTCTGTGTCCCAGTTGAGCTCACACTTTCTTAGAATGTCATTGGCACACTGAATAGACCAGATCCAACACCCACGGCCAATGGGACCCATCACCACTCTTAGGGACCCTGGAGGGCAGAGCAGAACTGCTCCACAGGGTTTCTGAGAAGGTCATTCTTTCTGGGAGCAGACAGCCTCGTCTTTCCTACATGGAGTGGGCTGGTGGGACTGAGCCAGCAACCTTGGGGATTGTAGCCTCATGCTCACCCCACAGCACCACCAATCCATCTTGCTAGACCCCCATAGAGCATAGTCCTAACTTTTCCATGCACAGGGAAACTGAAGCTCTGCTCTCGCTCTATTGGGATAGTGCTTTTGTTGCAGTGGTCTGGGATCAAGGCAACCCGTCCATCACTGCTTGTTTTGCAGTGTGGGTATGATTCTGGGGGAAAGTTACATGGTGGTTATTTTTCCCTAAATCTTGTGCAAGCCATCCGTCTTTATTTTAACAAGCAGAGCCAGCCTGTTTCCATATAGTGAATGCGACCACGGGCCTATAATAAGCCGGCTCATTTTCACATGTCAACTCTGTTTCATATTCACTCTGCGGGCCCTGTGCTTCTCGTCCTTCATTTAGTCTTTCTTTATTTGCAATTATACATCCTGTTTTTCTCTTCCTAGAATGGTGACAAGCACTTACAATTTGTATGACACCTCCCTTACTTATCAAAATCCTGAGCTATCCAATACATCTATTATGCTGTAGTATAATTTTCTTAAAATTAGTAAAGCTATTCACCCATCTTGCTTGCTGTCACCCAAATTTAGTCCTCGTGAGTGTCGTTAGTATTTGAAAGAGCGAATCCCGATGATTCCGGGTGCCCCATCTTCTTTCCAGGGCCCCTTCAGGCCTCCTTTTCCCTGGTGTTCTGATGCCTTCTTAGCAGAGACCCTTGGGGGCGGGATCTCTGGTGGGCAGGTTCTGGGGTCTTTGCATGACAGCGTCTATTTCCTATCACTGGAATACAGAGTGAGGTTGACAACTTCCCCTTCGTGTTCTGAAGGTCTTATTCCATAGCTGCTGTCAGCGTAACTGCGTGGTTTGGTTCACACCTCCCACGGCTTTCACGTGGCCACACGATTTTTATCCCAGGAGTCCTGCAGCTTCGCTCTTCCGTCACCCTGGACTAGCTTCCTCTTTGTTCTTCCTGCCTGGGACGTGGTACGGTTTCTTTAAGATGCATGCATGTCAAGTCCAGGGGAATGCCTCCTCGTACTCTGTCTAAGCACTGCCCCTTTTAAATTCCCTCCCTTATTTGCTCATTATGGAAATTCTGATTAGGCTCATGTTACACAGCAGTACTTAATCTCTTAGAAACACTTACATGCGCCCCTGCTTTTCGGACCACCTATGTTCTCTCATTTCCCTGGCCCGCCCACGCACCTCTCCAGGGGGCTCTGAGTTTAGACTCATCTGCAATGTTTGTTGTGATTCCCATTTTTCTTTTCGAGAGAGAGGCAACTCCCGTCATCCAGGTTGTAGAAATCTCTCTGCATTGGAGGCTGGCTCTCAGCTTAAGGCCTAGGGACCCCACTGATTGAGGACTCATTTCCAGGTCAACAATCTCAGCTGGGTACTCCATTCCTGAGCTGCTAACCAACATGTGGACACTCACATGCCTGCAATTTCCATCTCTTTCTTGTGAACTCTTTGCCCCATCGGCCATCTGACATCAACATTCGCTCTTGTCACCTTTTCAGAGGAAGTGGGGCCTTCTGGGGGTCCCCCTTGGGAGATTCTTAACAGTAAGAGCCGGCTCCTCTTGTTCCACCACGGTTCAGGTTCACTGGGTCCCTCCTCCAGGTGCTGAGTCAGCTCTGAGGGTCCTGGGTCTCCAATTCCCAAGTCTACCACCCTAGTTTTACATTTCCCGTTGGTCTCTCCTCTTGGGCTTTTCTTTCAGCTTGACCGGGCGTTCACAGATGTCCTTATGTGCTTGTATGATGCTTATACTTTATCCAAGAGCTTCATCTTTCTTTGCACTACGAGAGCTGCAGCAATTGATCCCTCGGTGCGACCGGAAGTAGAAAGTCTTGGTGCTGAGGGCCAGTCACGTGACACAGCCAGCACTACAGCCGTCACCGTGATTTGACGGCTCATCCCTCTGAAGCCTCAGACCCTCCTCTATGCCGAGACTGATCACACCCTTCTCAGTGGCCCGAGCGTGGGAGCAGGGGAGCTGCGAGCCTGCCTTGGTCTCTTGGAACCCTACACTCACAGAGGAAGCGCAGCCCACAGGAAGTGCAGTGCAAGTTTGCTCAGTGAATAAGCAGAAGTAGGACTGTGTCCAGGTGCCAGGTGGTCTTCAATGCAAGAAAAGCCAACCAAATCGTGACATCCAGGACACAGCATCACACCCCCACGGAGGATTCGCTTCAGATAAAGCCTGAGGACCCATCTCCCTTAGAATTTCTGTCCGTGTAACTTTGCAAAGCCCAGCCCAGGTATGCTCATCTTGCGGGCCAAGGCCAAGCTTGACTTACTTATCTTTCTAGAAAGAAAGCCATTAACACCGAATCGATTCAGACTCACAGTGACCCTCCAAGGTAGCCTGCACCTGCTTGGTAGGATTTCTGAGCCTGTCCTTCTTTATGGGAGCACACAGCTCTCTGGAGGCTAGTGGGACTGAACTGCTGACCTTGTGGTTAGCAGCCCAACATGTAACCCACTGCTCTGCCAGGGCTCCTCTCTGTAAGGAAAGGATCGGCCCCACGGGACACCCCAGTAGGGTCCTTGGAAGGTGGGGTGGAGGTCAGCTCTGTGACAAAGCCCCATGAGGGTCACAGGTGGAAGGCATTTTCCAGAGTGATGAAGTCAAGGCCGAAGCGCTGAATGGCATGCAAGCCCTTCCTGGGACCCAAGTCCAGAACCGGGCCTGAGGCTTTGCGCTAGCTGGGACAGCCTCAGCGTGTGAGTGGGGATGGGACCGTGCAGGGGGATGGGCTGAGCCCAGGTGGGTGTTACCGTGTAATTTCGCGTGAGGGAGACATCCCGACCATCCTGCAGGTAGTGGGTTTCCGTGAAGTCGCTGGAGATGAGGCCTCTGTGGACAGACAGACACATGAAATGATGAGGGAGGCAGCCACCGACCTGGCCTCGCCCCTCCCTGACTTACAGCCAACAGAAGGGCTGTAACTTGCTCGGGTGGACCAAGACCCCACACCACACACGTGGAGGTCCTGTCTCACGGCGTCCCTCTGCCTCGCTCATCTTAGACTAGCACCGTGCATTTCTGAGTGAGGAAAAATTGCACGCTGGAAACCAGCAGCCTCTGCAGCCTGGGTGTGAGGCTGAGCCGCCTGCTGAGACAATAGCTTGGGCACCACCATCCGGCCCCTGCTGATTCCCCGGCAGGTGGGAGCAGAGCTGTGCACATTTACACGTCCATGCAGAGACCAGGGCAGGAACGAGTGCTCATCCAAGCAGCAGCGCCCACGTGGATAAAGGATTCGGGACACACAGAAACAGCCGACTCCTGAGCTTCTGGGAAAGGGAAGAAAGCCCCGGGTGTTCTAACAGAAGCTGCCATGTGAGCAAACGGGCCTTCCCTCGTCTGAGCAGAGCATGGGGCTCTTCAGGGTCTCAGTGGCTTTGCAGCATCCTCCGAGCCTGTGCCACATAACCCCTGGACGTTGGTCGGCGTGCCCACTCTGAGCTATGTGCTGGACTCCCTGTTGGGAAGGCAGACCACCCAGTCCTCATGGGAGCTGTAGTCTGAAGGGGCAATAGAACCCAGTGCAAGGGGACTGCCACATGGTGGGAGCACAGTCCCATGGGATGGATGGGCAGGTTGGTGGGCATCATGGAAGGAGAGGCTTGGCAGAGAGAGTGACAACTGGCTGGGCCCTGAGGGATGGCACCAGAGTTGCTGGGAGGGGGACGTGGGAGGGAGCTGTATCACAGCCAGTGGCCGCAGGTCAGACACCAAGGGCCCCGGACCCAACAGGCATGTCAACCGGACACTCCTCACTTAGGGTGGGGGGGTTTCAACCTGTCCATCAAGCTGCAGCCTGATGACACCTCTTTGATGCCATAAGCCAGAGCAACAGAGATAATGGCTCTTTTGGCAACGTTGCCTTCCTGCTCGCTGGGACTCTGCCGCTGACCCTGCGGGCTGTCGGGGTCCTGCCGTGGTGTTTCCACTGGCTTTGGATCCACAAGACTCTGCACCCACCAGCCCGTGACCGGCCTGCCTCCCAGTTCACCATTCTGAGTCTAGGTTACTGGCATGGGGCTCCTTGAGCCTGAAGAATGACTTATGGACCAGTCTCGGGCTGATGGACTTGAGTTGTGCTGGGGTGCCTTCTTGACTGATGACTTGTTGATATGAAGTTCTTTCCTGCACACAGATGAGTGTCCCTGGATCTGTTGCCCTAGACAACCTGGAAGGACTGACACATGCTTTGAAACAGCTCCTGGACTGGCCATGCCAGGGTGAAGGCAGGTCAGTTCACTTCAAACCCTGACCTCTGCTGCCAGTGCAGTGGGCAGGGAAGGCACTGCCTACCCGGCCACCCACCAAGCAGCCAGTTGCTGGACCTCCGGCAGCATGGGGGCAGTGGTGATGGCAGGCCTGTTGAGCCGGGTCTGACTCCCAGCGAGTAACTATGGAGCCGCCACGATTCTGCTAGGCGAGCACACCACCTCCTGAAGTAAGGAAGATGGACCTTCATCCGCCATCCGGGGCGGCCCATCTTTAGTGGGGCTTTTCCCGAGCAGCTGCAGGCGCATGAACAGCGGCACCGCAGCTCAGAGCGCACTCACCCGGCCCTGCCGGCGGCACCCGTTTCATTCACAGCCTGAGCTCACTCCTCAGGCACATCTGCTATGGCAGAGGGACACTGTGACCACGCTTCACACCCTGTGGTTCCACTCCAGGCCACGCACAATGTGGCACTCATGTGACCCATGCAAAGCCAGCTCCACACTCCCCTCTCGGGCCTGGTCCAGGGGCTCCAGGGGAGGCTGCTTTCCCTCATACCTCCAGGCCCCTCAGATGCGGATGCAATCAGGGATCTCAGGGGGATGCTGGTTGGAAAGGGCGGTGACAAGGGCGGCAGCCATACAGACCAGAACCGGAAGCGTGGCATCCTCTGGAAATCCCTGCCCTGGATGGAGCCTGGCTTTGCAACCTGAGTCCTGATGGAGAAGGTCGGGGGGTGGGGGACAGAGGAGGAAGATGCTGAGAAGGAGCAGTGATGGACCCTCTCTCCTCACACTCAGCTTGGTCAAGGTCCCTCCCAGCCCCGCCTGGAGGTGGGGTGATCTCTGCTTCACGTAGATTCGGGTGCACGCAGGACCTGCCTCGCTTCCATCACCCAGGCTCTTGGATGGGTGTGAGCTGCGCCCAACAGCCAGGGGACTCACGTCCTGTGTCCTCCAGACACAGCACATACATGCCATTGCTTACACCAAGGACCTGTCCCCCGAAAACCACACGCAGGAGGCTCCTCACTCCCTGGTGTCCCTGCCCAGGCCCTCTCTCCATCCTGCATGTACCCCTGGACCGAGTTTCCTCCAGTCCCCTGGGCAGGACACTTCCAGGGGCAGCGGCCAGAGCCAGATGTCAGGAACAGAGGAAGTGGGATCTGGGAAGGGACAGGGGACAGGGGACAGGGTGGGTAGAGGAGGCCACAGACACAACAGGGAAAGAACTTTGGTGGCAACAGAGGTGGCGTCATGGGTGTTCATGTGGCAGAGGGCTCCCGGAAGGCATGGTCTTGATGAGGGGGCAGAAGCAAGAAGGGGGTGGATAAGGGGGGCAGGAAGGGAGACCCACCTTCCCCAATCGGAGTGCTGCAGGGAAGCAGAGGGGTAGGAGGGGACGTCGAGGGTGGCCCTGGATGGTAGGCGTTCATGGGGAGTGGCCATTGGAAAGGAGTAGAACAAGACAGAGAGGGGATGGTGCCTCAGGGCTGGGGAAGGGCGCCCAGGCCCCAGTGGGTAGGGGGCATCAGGGCTGGGAGAGGGCACTGCTCTTGGTGGTGGAGAAGGTGGACCAGCCAGAAAGGTGGCCAGACCTTGGGACAGCCACTCTCCAACTCAGCAGTCACGTGAAAGCGGAGCCGGACCGCAAGGTCTGCTTATAATTTCCCAGTGAACTCATATTCATAACATTTCGTCTTGTCTCTCTTCTTAATAACTTGATGATTCAGTTCTCAACAATGCCGGAAGCTCCTGACTCAACGTTAAGGGGAGTAACAGATGGAGGAAGTTGTACAACACGGAGACATCATTTAGGGGCTGCCAGCCAGACAAGGGAGGGGGAGCTTGTGGAGATGGATGGCGCAGGAAGGAGACCTTGTCTCCTGTCGGGACGATACGGAAAACCCATCAGGAAGGCCGGAGGTGGAGACCAGCATTTGGTCAGCGAGCCGGTTAACAGAGCAATGTGGCAGCTTAACAGCAGGACAATTAATTATAAGTCTTTAAACAGTGACTCAGATGGCAAGACAAAGACCAATGACTATTTCCCCCTGAGAAAAAGAAAAGGCCCCAACTGCTTTTCAATGTCAACCAATGACCTTGAAGTGTAACAGCCATGGGACTGCAGTTATACCCGGGGGCTCCGGCAGGGTCTGAGATACTGGTGGATGCTTCCTCCCATTGAAGGAGGGGATGGGGTTCCCAGGAGCAAGCCACCTCACTCCCCCCACCCTCCCCGCTCCCCCTAACATGAGGGCAGCTGGCTGGAACCACTGACCATGTGGTTAGCTCCACCAGGGCACCCAGTTGGCACCTCAAAATGAATTCACGATGTTGACGATCTGTGACGGCAGGATAATCTTATATCAAAGGAGTCTAATTGGAGTACAGTGTGTCTAAACTGGCCGGATTGATTAAAGGCGAGAGAGAGTTCAAGGTATTGTTCATCGCGAGGGGACCGCAGGCAGGGGGGACAGTCACATTCACTTTTTCATTATTTCAAAAATTCCAGAGGCTGTCAGGCCAGCACCATCAGCCCTGCCTGACAACTTATTAACTTTAGAACAGCCAAAATCGAGGAGATAGTGGAATAAGAGCTACAAGATTGGCATCACTTTCTCAGGCTATGAAAAAACTCACTCCACATGCCAACCTTTCTCCATCGTTCCTTCTAAGGTTGTACGTCCGGGGTGGGGGACTTCATTACTCTGTGCCACACACTCATGTCATAAGGCAACTAGTTTGCCAATTAGCTCCAGAAGGCACCATGGGGCCTCCCTGCAATTAGATCACCTGCACAATGGGGGCGCTGGAGAGAGAGCTCCCTGCTAGCGCAGCCATTTGGTATTCCAGCACAGCCCCGGCTCCGTTTCCTGCACAAGATTGGCTTCTCCAAAGCCTATTACTCCGCAAATTACAAAATCACCCAGACAGAAATGTGAGTAATGGCTTTCTGTTCACAAGGGTTTGCAAATACAGCTCTGAGGGTTTTCATCCACCTGCGGCCACAAGGTGGATTCCGACTCTTACAGAGGAGGGCTGGCCCGTGGGCTGTGAAGAGGGAAGACCCGAGGAAAATGGATGTGGGGGATCAAGGGACTGGCCAAGAAGACGGGTCATCCCTCGAGTGTCCAGCAGGACAGTGACTCTGTCTGGGAAGAAGAAGTGCAGCCGGAATGCTCCTGAGAAGTGTGGCCGGTGAGGCTTTGCCTCGTGTATGTGGACATGCATCAGGAGAGGCCAGGCCCTGCAGGAGGAGTGACGCTTAAGGCACTGAAGTCCCGTAAGTGCCTACCTAATCATCGGAGTTGTCAATGTGACCAAGCCCTCTTATCAAAAGCCAAACTCATGATTGTGCAGTTGATTCTGGCTCACAGCAACCCTACGAGACAGAGCAAAAGAGTCTGGGTGGGTTTCTGAGGCTGTGGATCCTCCCGGGGACAGACAACCTCATCTCTCTCCCACAGAGCGGCTGGTGGGATCAAACTGCTGACTTCACAGTGAGCAGCCTAGCACGTAACTCACCACTCCACCAGGCCTCCTTTGTGCCCTGCAGATCGCTCTTCAAAGAGCACCGTCCTTGAGGCTGGTCCTTTCTTAGCTAGTTAAGCTTCCCTA